TTTTTAACTTTTAACTTAACTAAAGGCAATTTAATTTAATTAACTTAACTTGCCACAATTAATTATTTTCATTAACTTGCCCACCTTTGATAATATCAATTCAATGATTCCCAGAATTTCAAAATATACGAAATACTAATTTATTAAGACCATTTACCAGACAACTTAGAAGAAGCTCTCAATGAGGACAATAGCACAAAAAACCTAACATTTCCAACCAAAATGAATATTTTAAACTTATTTTGAAACATGCGTTTTTAAATTATATCTTAAACCCAAATTTAAAACCATATAATTTACCTACTAATATGAACCAAGAGCGTAGCAAAGTGGGTCTGGTGTGGGCAATTCCCCCCCTGAATTCTTTAGCTGACAAATATATTTATGTTAAACGACCTTTTAAATTGACGAATGAATAGACTCAAAAATATATGTTTTGATGATTGTTCCCCCACCCCCTCTGATGAAATTTCTAGCTACGCCATTGAATATGATTAATATGTATATAATAGTACCTCTTTGTATATAATTTGCACACGACTTATAACCTTAGATGCTACAGACTAATTATTAATTGAAAAAATATATATATATAAAAAATATGATTTGGTTAAATATTATTTTTATTTTTTGATTCCCAAGAAGTTCCATCACTGCAGGATGGATTCTTCTCTCATGCCTCCAACCCATCTACTTCCACAGCGCTTGTACTCATTGTAAAAAAATTAATTTACAGATTGTATAATAAATTAATGTAACACAAACAATTGTTTTATTCTATAAACCGGTATTTACATTAACTTACTTTACACCTATTATAGTATGGCAGTATAAATTGGTAGGTACCTATAGTTTAAATATTATTTTATAAATATTTTGAAAGTTATATTTATATTATGTTTAGGAAACGTTACTACAAAAATTACATGTTAAAAATATTGAATTCCTGATGTTATTAATTTTATAATCATAGCAAGAAAAACACTATTTTGATTTTGCTTATAATTGCAGGGTGCGCGTAAATATTCCCATTTTTTCAAATTATTTTAAATATGAGAGGGAACTGTCCTTAACTTACCTACTTATGACGGGATTCGACATTGTGGTATTATATTATTAGCATTTGTGACCTATTACTTTAAGCGATAAAAATATGGACATTTAAAAGCTTTGTTAATTATCCATTTGTTTTATAAAATTCTATTTATTTTTATTTAAGCTCCAACTACCTATATTAATTAAGGGCTAATTGATATTTATTGTTTATAGTGTGACTAGTGACCACTCAACCACTGAGTTTGTTAGGGAGGCTAATATCTCTCTGTTAGTATGTTTTGAGCAAGCTTAGCCCCCCTCAAGCCCCCCCCCCCCAAACGTTCACATATGCTTCCACACATTCAGGGTCCTCCGTGGGATTTTCGAGGCAAAGGACGAAAACCAATTTTACCACATTTTTCAAACGCGAGGCCTCCAAATGTAATCAAAAAGCGCGAGGCCCAGGGCCTGGCCCCCAAGGACGGCCCTGCACACATTTCTAAATATTTGAAAAACGACAATATATGAACGCAACATTAGTTTTTGAAAAATTGATATTATGTTTAAAAATATATATAATAATAAATTTATAAGCTGCTTTTTAGAAGTACCTAGGTATCGGAAAAAATACTACCTACCTAAATGTTATGGGGGAAATATCAGGGAAAACGGGAATAGGTAAATAAAAATGTAAATTATTAAAATTGACTTTCAAGTAAATAACAATAATATATTTCTTCAATAATTAATTCATTGGGAAACAGAAAATAGAAAAATAAATTACTAATAGTACCTACCTAGACAGTAAAAATATATCATTAGAATAAAATAGGTAGGTAATTATAGACGTTGACACACATACACGATGACACACCGTTTCCGCTCAGAACTGTTTATAATCTTCTCAATAGTTTACCACTTCTTATTGCAGTAGTGTTGTAGTACCAACCTATCTGTATTACCTACCAATACAGTACACAACAACCTACTTTTTTCACACTTGGCCACCTACATATTATATGATCAAAAGTTAAGTCGAGTGAATAGTGATACAAATCATTTAATACAAATAAATGCATTAATATTTCATAATAAATATTGTAAAATGTAAAATGAATTAATCAGGGCAGGGAAAAGTCAATTATTTTGCATTTCTGCATATCGATGGATTTTCTTATGAATTCAAAAATATAAGTGATATACAAATTGGACTCTAAACAAATTAACATTCCAAGTACCTACAAAAAAAAAAAAATTAAAAAAAACTCATCATTGTAAAATCATACATTCATCACTCTGCTCAGAATCTAAAATGTACCTAAAAATTTCTAATATTTTAGACGTTTGTATAGTCTATGATATTATATAAATTATAAATTCATAGATAATAGAGCTGGTTTTTGTATTGCATATTTTGTGAAAAATCATGTATTTTACAAAATTTGTAAGTCACCTTTAATACCAATAATCTACATACTTATTATAGCTATTTGAATAATTTGATGGGTCGGGTACATATAAAATTATTTTTTGCATAAATTACTACAATACCTAATGCCTAACACATACATTTACTTTTAGTACACAGTTACCTATAATACTCTATTATTAATGTCAAGGTTTTTTTAAGACTCCATCAAATACTCCAACAGTCTATATTATAAGGTTGTGATAATATGCAAGATAAATATACATATTATTTAATTTATTTTTGTGCTGACTGCATATAAAAATTGTGCTGAACGAATAGATAAAAAATGAGAATTCCATTGCAATGACATATGTAAAAATGTAAAATCAAATTAAATACAAACAGCTTTGTCATATACATTTTTTTATTTTTTATTTTATGAGCTATTAGTAGGGACTATGACAGCTCGACTATTAAATATGTTATCTACATTCTACATAGTTAATAAAAAAAATATGGTTTATTATTATATGGTCAATTTATTTTAATTTATCATGCTTAACTTTAACAATTATTCATCTTAAATTGTTACAGTGGTGCATTTAATATTTTTTATAAGCAGTGATTCATTATTCTATTTTATTTTAACACTATGTTATTATAGTTTGAATGTGGACTCCACTACTTTAATTTGTCAGTAGTTTATATTCACTGAGCGAACTTTAAAAAATACTTTATACAAAGTTATTAATTTAAAACATTTTAAGAAAAAAAAAATAACCAGTAAATTATTATTTATTATATTTTTGTGTGCATTATCTTTCTGCCAATAGACCGCTCTGGATTAAAGGTCAAGGCCACAATGGAGTAAACAATTTTTGCCACTTCCCCACAGCACAAAAAAAATATTGTTATGTTTAAATTAAAAAAACTAAAAGTTATTATTTAAACAATTTAAGGTCATGATATTCATATTTTATAAATTATTTTTAAAAATGTTATGAAAAAAAAATTATTCATAAATAATTATTATAACATAAAATTTTTTTTGGTTGAGTAATAGACAAGAGCTTGGAGAAAAATATGCTTCTTTTGTACCTAGGTTATACGGCCCTGCCAACAGGATGCACAAAAGAATTATTTTTAAAAATGACACCAGTCGGCATCTTAAATTATATCACTAGTATGTTTGAAGTTCTACAATCATTTTGAATTCATATCTGAAAATTAGTCTATAACAGTTATCTAATTTTTATTATTAATACTTATGAAAATGATATTTGGTAAATAGAACTCATATAACATATTAAAATATAAGTACCCAATAACAGCACTTTTGGGTGTATACACAATTTATTATGTAATACACTAATATGTCATAAATTTTGATTTTTACATTAACTTTATAATTTTGCATTTTTGCTAATACCTACACCTAAGACAACACTTGTTCTATTTCCTGTACAAACTTATAAACATATAACAAATAGCCAATAGGGAATAAATAAAACAATAAGTGCATTATCATAATAATTTTAGAAATATCTATTTTGGGTTCCAAATTCTATGATGCTAAACTTAAAAACATATATGTACACAATTCAATAATAGTAATAATAATATCTTTATAAATTTAAACAACATAATCAACACCATTGATAGATAACTAATAAAGTTGAAACAGTCATATAATAGTATTAAGACAAATTTCAAGGTAAATTTTAGATAAAAAAAAAAATCTGTAACAATATTCTATTTACAATAAAAAAAAAAATTAATAATAAAAAACATTAACAATATTGGTTAATAATATGAATATAATATAATATACGATGAAATTAGTCATGTAAGTGTATTATACTTGTCTACAGCAACACATAATAAGCCTACAATTTTTTTCTATACAACGTAGCTCATCTAGACATTCTATATTACAATAATATATTTATTTGCTGTTCAATTTTTAATACATGTATATTTTATCCATAATCGATGTAAATACAATATGATTGATAAAACAAAAAAAAAAATTATAATAATTAGGATGATCGATTTCATTAAACTAATTTTTTCTTTTCTTTTTGGAAACATTTTTGATTTGTTTGTGCAAAACGTTTCAGCAAACAAACACAAGTGCTTTTAGTCAAACATGGTAGCTGCCCCGAATAGAATAACAAGCAACATTGCAAATCGACATTTAACATATAGAAAGGAATGTAGGCTAATTTTTAAATATTATAAAATACTAGGGTAGGACATTTTATAACAAATCTGTAAACCCCAACAAAATGTCATCTGTCAAATCTAGTTCCTTTTTAAATGATTTTCATCAATTGAATAGTTGAACACCATTTAAACAATACCACAAAGTTGCAAACATGCCGTGCAAAAAAATAATGTTACATTATATTATATAAGTTTCATTTCTGGACATTTTAGTATGTGCAAGGAATGAAAATATATACAAATACCGTACACTTTTTTTTTTTGCTTTCTATGAGAGTAAATTTATAAATTAAGGAATTTAAAAATATGTACTTATTCATAAACAAAATTAACGCAAATCTGGAGTGTCATTTACCAGTTTCTTGATGCGCAATAGTATTGTAGTGTACCATTGGTCCAACCGTGATATGGAATCGTAATCTTTAACAGCTTCAGTAAAACCATCAGCATTTTGCTCTTGAATGTGGTTTAACAACACCTTAAGGGAAAAAATTGAATTTAAAAACAAATCTTAAGATATACTATAACATAAGCTAAGTTATAATTTTTTTTTTTACTACTTCATTATATTTTCCTTAATTAACAAGCATAAAGTCTTTCTATATAATATTATGTATACATTATTGTATAATATTATGGAAGAGACTAAAATACTTTATTATGCTCTTTGTCAACTTTATGAAAATAGCAATAGAAGATTATTATTCAAAATACCAAACAAATTTTCGTAGTTCAAAACAGTATGATAAAGATAGAATAGGGTTTTCAACTTTTTATAGAATGTCTATACATTTCAAAAAATAATAGTTTTTGTAAATAAAAACCAGTGTTATAAGTTTAAAGTTTGCCGTAAAAAAAATATCCAATAAAAATGTATCTATTATAATAATTCAAATCGATAAGTGATTACATAATACTAATACATATTATAGTTATACAAAATATTTAATACCTATGTGGCTACATTTAAAATAAGAAGATATTGTTTTGTAAATGTTATATGTATGAACATTGTATTAGGCATCAGTTAAATTATTCTAAAATAATTATTTACAAAAACAAAATATAATTTTCAATATTATTATTTACCTGCAGTAATTTGTATTCTCTACTATCTTGGAATGCCGGGTATCGTTCAGTGTATTGATTCATGGCCAGTTGAGCATTAAGCACATCGACACACAAATGACACAAAGCTGCTCGGAAGTAATATTCTTTTGCGCTGTACTTCAACAAAGAACTGTCCAATGATGTCCCAGCAACCTATAACAGCACAATGATATAAAATAATGTAATATACATTCACAGATTGAAACCAATGTTCCACATCAGCTACAATAATATTATACCTCTTCGTATATCTGAATGGCTCGGTCATAGTCTTCCAGTTGTGCAGCATACTGTGCCACCTTAAGTTTGCATTTGTTAGCTGAACTCTTGCTTTCTTCGGCCATAAAATAATCTGAGGCCTTTTCATAGTTGGTTATAGCACGTTCTAGATCAACAGCTTCAGTTTCATACATTTCCGCTATATTTTGATGTTGTTTCGCAGCCATCGTAAAACGACCCATATCAGTATAGATGTCAATAGCTTTTTCCAGACATGATGCAGCTTCTATAACAAAAAAAAATAACAAGCAATTTAATATCATATAATTATTGCAGATGGATGCAAAATAAAGATATAAAAGACAGTGAAAACCATTACTAGTAATACCTATATAAAAACAGTAAATTAACATTTTAGTGCTCACATTAAAAAAAATATATAAGTATTAACTTAATAAGGAGATCCAATTTTATATGTGATTACTTACTTAGATATAGTTCTTTTTTTAAGACTTTTATTTATAACAAAAAAATCCATAACAAGCTTGTAAAATATTTAAATAGTTTAGAATGTTTAAGTTATACTCGAATAAAAGAAAAAATAAAAATATATAACTATAACACTTTAATTTATGTTCATGAGTCAGACTAGTAAATTAAGAATATTTCAAAAATGAAATACTTAGAATTAAATATACAATCATACCATTTGGATCAGTTTTTTTAAAGCAGTTTGCAGAGTCTACATAATTTGTAGCAGCATCATGTTTACGGCCAGATTTAGAGTTGAGATCAGCAGCCAAAATAAATGCTCTACCAGCTTGTGACCATTTTTTTGCCATCTTAAATAAATTTGCAGCACGTTGATAGCAATCAATTGCATCTTCTACCTTAGAAACATTCCTAAACAAAAAATTTAAAAAAAATAACAGTTAGATAACAATTTATAATTACCATAGTAGGTATAAAAAATACATATATTTTATATAAAACTGATTTGAATGTTATCTATCAAATTGATAGATATTAAAAATAAAAAATGTTTGTTAGGTACATACTGTCCAAAAATTGTTTTCATTTTTCTACAGGTCATTAAAAAAAATTATATTAAATAAAATGTATAATTTTTCCCAAACAATACATAGGTAGTAGTGTTGTAGTACTCAATTTGGAATAGACCAGAGATAGTTAAATTATAATATATTAGGTACATGTGTTTTGGTGTATGTAGAAAAAGAGTATCTACCTAAAGTAATTGGAAGTTTTTTAACTTTGAAGCACTAAGTAAATACTTAGGTACTACTTTTTTTTTATAAACAATTAATTTACCTACCTACTATAGATATTATTTGAATTACTTTATTTTAATAGAATAACAATTTTAAATTTTGGTGGCCTAACTTCTGTTTTATAATTAAAAATGTTGATAACTTTATACAAAGTAAAAAGACTATGACATTGTGGGCGGTTGAAGTACATTTAATTTAGGTTATCAAAATTAGTTATAGCTATAATTGCTACAAGGGCAAATATATTTTTTATACTATAACAGATGGACACTTTCAAGTTTTTCTTTGGTGTTCAAACTATTTATTTTATAAGCCTCTTTAGTATAATAAATATTAAACTGTAGGTAGGTACCTACATTCTAACACAACATTATTCTTCATCTCACCTTGCTTACAGAGTTTACCCAGTTTAAAGCGTTTCAATTACAAAGTCCAGCTATAAATTGTGTTTTAGATGAATGTTAACAATATTAACACTGTATATTTTAACAGAAACGACTAGCGGTTAAAGATGTTTGATGTATTAATACATGCATACAGGTAGTGAATCAAATGGAGTGAAAACGAGTAGGTGTACCAAAAACATGAGAACTTTCTGATCACAAATTATCGTTGGTATAAAATCTACGGAGTGTCGACGTCTAAGGAAATTGGCGCAGCGTGTGATTTTGCCTCTGTAGGTAGGTATAATCAGAATTTTCAGTTCCTCAAAAATACCTAACCGTGATAGATTTTATCTGACAGTCGAAAAAGATTGAAAACCAGTTGGAAGGCGCTGTAATGTCTACAGTTGAAAAATACGGACGGAAAGTGGCATTTCGATGGCTCCTCGCCTCCCTTTCACCAGATCAGAGACAAAAACACAATGCACACTCGTCGCCACGCCAAGTTAACTTTCCAAAACGGTTACGACTCGAAAACTTCCGACACCTGAAACCCCCACCCCACGGCAAACTAGATGGAAAATCGAGTTTTGCGACCTGCGACCACCCCCTTAACCATTTACCGAAATAGTGAACACTCACCCGAATAACGAGGAAAACAGTCCTTTTGACGAGTTGAGTTTCTTGTCCGCTTCGGTTAACAGGGCGATGGCTTTTTCCTCGTTGCTCGACATGTCGACTTGCGGACGGTGAGAGAAAATCGAAGAAAACGCAAACGACAGACGCAAACGGCGACCTTTCCGTTATATCAACTGTGCAATCGGCAATCGGTCGTCGGTAATTATTTATTTATTTTAATCGCACGTCTTACCACAAGGTAGATGATCGTACTGCAATCCAGGAAAACAGATCGATCGCTTTCGCTTTGTACTTATTAGTTGTTACGAAACGGCGACAAAATTAAGCGCACTACAATAATTCACCCGACAGACACTGACTCAGCGCTGACTGTCATCGACTATCCACGAAAATATTGATAAAATGATTGTGTTGCAACGTCACAAGAGAGCGCTACCACTGATACGAAGGACACACAGCCGTACGAACCATTTGTTCCACTCGTTTTTTGTCCGCGTTAACTTATTCCAATACGATATTAATATTTTCCATGTTTAACCGTTGTTCCAACTTACATAATATGTATTTTGTTTTGATGCACATTAATTGTTAAAACTTATAACAAATTTGTTGTGATGGACATTTTTTTCCTATAAAATATAACATCTTCCAAGTTTAAATTACCAATGTTTTAAGTATTATTATATAAAATTATTATTTTTCACATACACGTCCTTCATTAGTTTGTTCAAGAGAGCCTTAATAATTATTATTAATCCACTGAACAAATCGCAGGATTAGTTGATGAATTTAGGAACACACGGTTTGGCTCTCTAGTTTGTTCCAATGAACATTAATTGTTACGAGTTTACGATAGTTTATTTTGGAAAAGTTTATTTTCACATTTTGGAACAAATGTTCATTCGCACATAAGAGTTTTGGAGTAAAAATTGATCAGAAAATAAACGCGCGTTAAAACATTTGAACTTCATACAACTAACTTCAACTTAACATCTTAACTTTGTCAAAAGCTGAAAATGTATTTTTTTATTCTGTAAAATCAAACACGGTGGTATCTTGTATAAAATATAGTTAAGTACCTACCTATTATTTTATATCGTTCAAATTTCCTTATGCTTATGGTCGTATATTTATCAGTGTTTAACCAAAGCGTACATCAATAATATTCACATACCTAAATTATAAACGTCCGAGATGATTATAGTCCAGTCAAATTAGATCAAAAATCAACAAAGATCGGAAAAAATTCGCCCCCAACTGAATTTTGGTACACACTTAAAATGTACCTTCCCAATTGACATACTAAAAGTCCTGACGCCTAACCCCTGTGCGTATCTCTCCACCCCCAAAAAGGGGTGAAATCTACCCTCCCACTATTTTTCTTATAACTCGTTAACCATTGAACTCACGACAAAAAAGTAAGGACCAAAATTAAAGACCGTAAAATTTACTATAAGAATATAATATTGTAATCACTACAATTTTAACGTAGTAGTTTTAAGTTTTAGTGTTTTTAGTGTTTTAGTTTTTTTTTTAAATTTTTTTTTAGCCAAAATGTATAGTTTTAAACCAAAATGACCTATAAGAAAAATGATAGCCCTTTGTTTTTACATAATATACTTTTTTTTATTTTTTTTATATTCATTACCATAAGATTTAAGGTGGTTGTTATGTACGATGCGGCGGTGTTATATCTGTACGGTTGATAATACGAACCAAGTTCGAACATAATGTAAAAATTCACCGAAAGCTGAATATTGGCATACACCTACTATATACTTCATTAATGATCATACTTAAAGTTCTGACGCTTAACCTTCGTGCTTACCCTTCTAACCCCCCCCCCACCTTCAAAGGGGTGGTTTTTCAATGCTTTTACTTATAAATCACTATCCTTGGAACTGACGACCAAAATATATAGAACTAAAATTAAAGACTATTACATTTACCATTATATTATAATATTTTGCATACTTAAATGTTTACAAGATAAGTTCAGTTATAAATACAACTTTTATGAAATGTCTTTACAGTTACAATATGTTTATTTACAATATTATTATTTATTAGATTATTATACTAGTAGGTACTAGGTACTACTTAATTCTAGAATTTTTACAGAAAACATTAAAAAAAATTTACAATACCATATTATTTACACTAAGTACCAACATTTTTATATTATTTCATTATTATTTCAATAGATCAATATATTATATAATTTAGTACGGACCTATTGACTATTACATAGTAACTACATACCAACGTAAGGACTTGTTGCTTGATGGTGTAAAATATTTTCGGAAGTGGCCCGCCTTAAATTTGGCACACTTAAAATAAATTGAAATGGTGTCCGTTAGTAAATAACATAATATAAGATTATCTTTGGACGAATAATTTATAAATATCATCCATAATATAATTAGGTGTACAAATATATAGTACCTATAGTACCTGTTATATACAGATGTACTATATAGGTACCTACATATTCTATTAATTACTAATTATTACTATACACTATACAGACATATACCTGAATATTACTTTTAGTCATTACTAATTCATATTCTAATACCATGGATGATTGTGCACTGTGCAGGAGGCAACAAGATTGTTTTCCTACTAAGTTTAGTATGATTTTGTTATGCGATTGATAACTCATTATTAAACTATTCGATGGTCATTACTATACGACTTGTTCGATATTAATATATTATAATTTATAATGACGGCTTTTATTCTTAGTTATTTATTGCTCACTTTAAGTACCTATACAATATTCACAAATATTTGGCATCATCAACGTTATAGCATCATATATAAAAAAACGGACGACAGATTCACGATACCAGAAGAAACAAGCATTCAAGCCAGAGACACCCAAATTCAAATACATGCTCCAGTCATAACAACCCATTTTTATTTTAATAAAACTACAATTTAAAATAACCACAACCGAAACACATCGTAACATTCAAATAAATCAGACACCTGAGTTAATTTTTTTGGTCAGCCCAGGTAACACCCCTAAAAAATTGTGATCTTTTTTCTTATTCACAAATAGCAATTGTTAAACAAATCTCTTATCGGGTGAAAAAGTGCAGAAGGAGTATTTATCTACGAGTGTGTCTAATGTTTTTGATTACAATATGATACATTCAGTGAAATTTTCATGTATCTACAGTAATTCGTTTTTGAATTACAACAAAATAAGGAAATCGCTACATGAGAAATCGAGTGAACATCCAAAATTTGAATTTCAAACGCTCATAAAAATTTAATTTGACTGTCCGGTAGAGATTTTTTTATTGATAAAGGTAGACAAACTTATGAGTAATCTTGTATTACATTTTTAAATCTTAGATTTAAAAAGAAAAATTTTTACGAATTCTTAACTCAAAATAATTTGCTAATTTTCGTGATTTTTCCATATTTTGTCAATTTTTGAACTTTAAATGCTTATAAAAAAAAAACTGTGACTAACGATTTTTAATATTTTTCATTTGCCTTTGAAACAATATACTAGGAGCCTTTTATTAAATTTTCAAGTTTTTTAACCAACAAATAAAATTTTATTGATATTTCTAGAAAAAAAACTAAAAAAAAATGAAAAATGAAAATGTCCCTAAACAGTTCAAAATAAATCAAAATATTTTTAAAATGTTATCGTGTATAGAAAATGCAAATATAAACAACCAGTAAAAATTTCATGTATCTACGGTCATTTGTTTTAAAGTTACACCAAAAACCAAATTCAATTTTCTGAAAAATCGATTTTGCGTAAAAATTCCCGTTTTTCCTTAATTTTTCTTTTGTTTTTCTTGGCGCTTTTGAAAAGTACTGGGTATTATAAATTTTGACCTCCCCAATGCACCAACGATATTCACTTTCCAATCGAACAAGATACTGAAGTTGAAAATCGAAGAATTATTTCGACTACTTATCGTGTACACAGACACACAAAAAAAATAAAAAAACACACATCATTGTAAAATCAATACATTCATCGTTTCACTCAGAATCTAAAATAATTTTTTTTTTATTAGGTGAAATGTACACTAACCTAACCGTGGATATTACGGGGGGGTCGGTTTTATTCCGTTTTATTACCGGCACTTTTTATACGAAATGTTTTGCCCGATAAAGGTTAGGTTGTCTGTCGTCGGTATTTCGAGCCTTTAATATGTTAACTGTTCAACATGGATTTACTAGTTCAAAATACTACAGATATTCATGTCTCCCAAACATATATATTGGCGATATGTGTGCTTCACACGTTAAACTAGAAGATGGAAGTGAATTGATGATGATTGTTGTGTACATTTCACCTAATAAAAAAATAAATTACATCATTTCATTTTTACACGAGAGATTATTTCCGTACAGTCACAGAGGTTCAATAATTTTCAAAACCAATAAAGACAAACTACCATTGATTTTAGCTGGGGATTTCAATGTAAATTTTGCAAAAGATGAATCAACGCCATTAATTACGTTTCTCCAAGAAGAATTTCAATTACAAATTAATAACTTTTGTAACATACTTCAGCTACCATCGGCCAATTGTCACAGTAATACCGTCGTCAGAGGCAACATCGAATGTCACTATTACCGAAGTCACTGATAAAACGAATTAAGTAGTCACAATTTGAAATAAATTCGTAAATTTTTGTTTTCAATGAAAATAAATGTTTATTAAATAAACAGTCATCATTATCTGAAAAAAAATCGTAATATTTTATTTTATCATTATGACATATTTAGTTCCTATCGCAATCTGTTCTTTTCTGCATATTACTTTTACAAAATAATGTCGATGTTTCACATCTGCCAGGCGTCCAGTGACGGCTTAATTTTAATTAAGGGTTGTTGGCGTGCAGAGTCAGAGCCTCCACTCCCCCCTCATAAAATCCAAATAAACTATAAATTCATTAGTTAGGTAGGTAAGTAAATAAGTATGTCAAAAAAAAATTTAAAATTGCTTAAATATACATTAATATATATAGGTAATCGGTATTTATTACATCGATATTAAAAATACAAGCAAGGTTAGGTTAGGTTAGGTTTTTTCAGGATTAAAAAAACAACTATAGTTTTAGTGAAACTTTAATAACTCATAATAATATTGTAACTGCAGAATTTGAAAACCCTTATAAAACAAACATGTCGGGTACATTTTAGTTAACAGGTTTATTTTATGCACACAAATACAATAGCTATAAAAAAATATGCACGTACAATAATTATAAAAAATATACAATCATTTTACAAAATATACACATACAATAATTGTACAAAATATACAAAATTTATAATAACTGTACAAAATATACACATACAATAATTATACAAAATATACAAAATTCACAATAATCTTACAAATTATACAAATACAACTGAACCTCTTCGCTATCTCATTGCGGAACGCCAATATGCCATGGCGACGGCGGCTGTGGCCGAAAAGCTGCAGAGGTCTACGAGGGTGGCGGAGCCGGAAGCATCGGGACAGGTGGGCGGTGGCCGTCCTGTCGGTGTAGGCGACGCGGAGGGTTGGCGGCTTTGTGCGTTCGGCAAATTGAGAGTTCGCTCGGAGCGGTTTTCTGCAGCAGCCGACATCACAGCGGAGGCGGCACCCTCGCCCGACTCCAGTTCCACCGATGTCAGCTCCCGAAACTGGTACCTATATCTTGATTTTCGTTACTTCTCCTACACCCGCACACGTCATTACTAATTTATTATCTAATCAACTGATAATAATATTTTGCAATATTTACTTTCGAGAATCCGGACCCGTGTCTCCAGACGGCCGAAACTGCACCCATCGGGTTTTTCTTCGGTTATTCCTATATAAACGAACGGAAACGGATTAATGTGTTTAGGTTATAGGTTATAGTCAGGTCGATGTATTGTATATTATTACTTTCCGCAGTCGTAATAGTCTCTGCAGTTCGCAGCAAGCCTGCAACGGTCTCGTTCAAACGGTTTAATTTCGTTTTCACGTCGGATATCTGCTCTTTGACGGATGTCTGGATCGAATAAATTGAGTCAGCCATATGGTGCTCCAACGCTATGCTACGCATTTTGCACAATTCTAAATGATGCTGAAAATCAAATAAAAACCGTTTATCAGTACCTACCGCGATATTATGATCCCTGTACGTTAGATTGCTCTAAAGTCGTTATTCGTTTCATACTTGCATGTCTCTGGACGCCCTTTCTACCGCGTTTGATGCGTATACAATTATCAGTAGGTCACAGTTGAAGTTTACTTAACTTTATGATATGTAAATTAAACTATTAATATACGTAGGTTGAAATTTACCAATATAATATAATGTGACTTGTAATTATTTCATATTAGTTACAACTTACAGATTAATAGTTAAATGTACAATAGTCAAAAGTTAGTGAATTTCAACTGTTACTAATACTTAAATTTACAAACTCATAAGTGTAAATATGGACTTGTGGTAAATATATTTACCTACCTATGTGTTACCAGTGAATAATGACTTTCACAAAACAAAATTGAAAATATACCTATAATAGCCCTAGTAAGTTTCCGAAAACATCAAGTGAAATAATGATCTATCATTCACAAAATGTACTTGGGTCCCCCCGATTTTTATTTACAATTATTTTAATTGCCTTACTGAACCATTTTGTATTTTTGAAACTCTTTCATAAAATTATAAAATACGGTAAATAGGTACTATTTGAACAAAAAATAAGTATATTATAATATATTATATATTTTTTTTATTTAATACTGAATCATATTATAATAGGTACAGATTTAATCAGTGGCGAAGCGTCATATTATAGGAGACAATGAGGCAACGTCTCCCCACTTATAAATTAAATCACGGGACAAACAATTTTGTTTTATCATAATATATTTACAAATTCTAACGTCATTTATACTATATAAACATGATGTATGTTTTAATATATTTTGTTAAAATTGGTTTTTGTTGTACAGGTAAAGAGTTCTTGAAATAGATTAGAAGCGGTCGATCGAGCGTACGAGCTGTCGATTTGGGTCATTAAAAATATGGTATTATGTCAAAGAGACGACCCCAAATTATGGGCTCGAGGGTACAAGGGGAATTTTAATGTGTGTGGGGTTTACTGTAGTCTATATGTGCTATGAGACGCTGTTCGTATTACCTCAGTCCCCAATTATCGATGTCAACTTATTACAGCCATTTTTTGTTCAATGTCTCCGCAACCTAAAACTTACGCCTCGCCACTGGATTTAATCACCCTCATATATCCGTTCTACTAGCTTCTCTCTAACCTGGCTACGCTAAGCAAGTCAGATACGCCGAGCTATTGCATTATAATATATACCCACATAACACCTATGTACTATTGTACTATATTTTGTTTACCTCCAAATCTTCTTTCATATTTTTCTGTTCTGCACAATCATCTGAAGTTGGATCGTTTGGTCTAGAAAATAAATACGCCATTCCGGCTGTACCAACGCAAGCAAGTGAAATCCCTGCCAACAATTCTTTAGAAAAATACATTTTGTTGCAGTGAAAATGTTCAACGTTCAACAAAATATTATAAGGACTTTGATTATTAGCAAACCGTAGTGAAGTATATATTATAATACCTATTATTATAATGGTATATTTTGATATTTAAACAATTAAACCAGATAATATATTATTATAACAAACAATATTATCGTTTAGTTTATAAAGTCTTAGTTTTTTATCGAATTGCATTCACAAATTATTGTTGTGAAAATCTGAATGTGTATAAATTACGTCCATGCAGTGGCGGACTGGCAAGGGATGCCGGGAGGCGAAAAGGCGATCACATCCCGATCTATTTTATTGTATCTTATCGTTATCGTATTATTTTCACTCGCAGTCACTCGTGGTTTCCCAGTATCACGGTTTTTGTTGATGTATAATGCGTTATAAGCATAGATATTATAATATCTATGGTTTAATGGTTATAAGTACCTAACTGATATTGTGATATGATTAATTTGTAATTTATTATAGGCACCTATTATAGGTCAATTTTTTTTAATACCATAGATAAGTATATAATATGTCTTATACCTAGTCTGACATACCGTCTCCGCTCAGAATTGTTTTTCTTATAGGTACAATGATTTTGTATCACTGAATTCAAATTTAAAACCATCCATTATACAGTGACCCACTCGTAACCTACTGTACAGCAGAGCACCTTTTTATATTTTAAGTTTTTTTTATAGTTCTTTAAAATTCAAAATTGGACGAAATTACAAATTAAAACCAAGAATAACAATTTTAGTAATTTTGTTCTAATTTAAAATAGTATGTTTGGATATTTCAAAGTTTTAAATTATATTATTATATTTTATTCACACAGTTTTTCTTATACAATAATAGGAAATCATTGAATTCAAATTGAATACCATCCAATTTCCATTACACTGACCCATTTATAACCTACTGTATAGCAGAGTGGTACCCACTTGTTGCCCTTTTTTATTAATATAATTAATATATTTGCGAGATGAATTTTAATAAATTTTATATTATTATTGACTGGGGCAATATCAGAATGATGAAATAAAAATATTTATTATAACATAATTAATGTATACATTATATAAAGGTTTAACATCTTGGAAATATCATTAATTTTCAATCATAAATATGTAGGTAGGTATATAAAAAATGAAGAAATATACAAATGTTCAACGCTTGAAATATTTTACATTTAAATAATACACATTAAATATTGGTTTAACATTTTAGGAATATCATTAATTCACACCATAAATATATATAACAATTGACCAATGAAGAAATATCCAACTGTTCAACGCTTGAAAATATGCAAAAAGTCACCAAGTACACGGGTAACAGCCACCGTTGATTCTGCCTTAAGGCATTATCTAGGTCCGGGCCTGGACAAGCGAAAATCTCATATACCCTCCGGATGTGCGGAGGATGGACTTCCGTTCAATCAGGAACGTCCGATGACCACATAGACAGATTAACGACAGCGGTGGGTCCATCGAAGAAGACGAACCTATAAATAATTTTATATTAGACACTCTGCCACTATATTAATTTATCATTAAAGTTTATAGTTTTGAGTGTTTTTTTAACACTACTGTGCAGTCTTAGCGAAGTAGAAAATTTGTTACGTATTATCATTGATAATTATTATAATCAATGGTATTATGTAGCTATTACTATAGGTAATAATCAATAGAATTCAGGACTTATGTCCACTAAAAATCCTTGAAATATAGAATCAAAATTACCAGAATACGGTTTTCTTGTTTATTTGCACGACAAGATCAAATGTTCGATTTGGAGTACCTGTGCTACGACAACAACGATTACCATAATCTATTAAAAATAGATTATTTATTACCACCGCCTCCTCTACCGCCATTACCCCAGCCGCTGGACGAATCTGAGCGTTTGAAGTAAGCAGTAAGTACCTTCTTATTATATATCAAGCAATCTATCTGAAATAAAATATAGATTAATTACAAAAATACGTTTTCTCGTGTATACGTAATAATTATATATATATATATAGGTTTATATAATCGTATATACCTTCCTGTAGGGAAATGCCTGATTTGTTGCCGGA